TTGAAATGTAATGGCCACACCTACTATACAATCAGCACGCTTGTTTGTGAATTTTTCCAAAATGCAAAATTTGCAAAATTTAATCCATGCAAAATATATGGCGTACACGGTAGCATTAAGAAATATACAAGATTACGGAATTAAAGCCATTTTTTGGTGTCAAAGAACTTTGCCACGGTATGGGCCACATGTTGCTTTTGTCACAACTGACCTTGTGCAGCAAACAGTCTGATTATATGCACCTCTCAAATGAATAAAAATAGGTAATTTTTCTGAACATTTAGGCCACACGTTTTCCTAACATATCAAGTTATCTTTGCTGTAGTAGCCAATTTGATCTCTCCTTTTGTTTCAAAACACTTTATTTATTTCTTGTGTAAGCTCTTTTGTTGTTGTTTTGACTTTCAAACAGTTTTTCATAGGCCTATTATCTCCCTTTGGCATTTTCTGTTTTAGTACATTTAGCTTCGAAGAGCCAGGGCATTTGCCCCTCCATTGCAGAAGTGTATTTACCTGAGTCCTATGACTAGTGTCTGTCATCAGAGTTAGTCTCAGTCCATCAGGACAAGGTACAGTGCAAGAACTCACTCAGGTGTCAAGTTGCAGCTGGAATATGGATGATCTGACCATCTTTTCATTTCTTTAACTGTAGAATTGGTCTTTATTCACAAGTAAGATTCACTCCAAGGATCATAAGTGTTCTGGAATAGCTATTCATCAAGTACTTAGCTGTTAATAGTCACTTCTAGTATGAAGTACAGCTGTTCATACATTACATGATCTGTAATGTTAATATAAATGTTAATTACAACAATTGTCTTGTAGTTTAACTATTAACTACTTGAGTATAAAGAGTATCATAAATCATAAAATCGAGAAGAGAGATAGAGTGAGAACCAAAATTGATAAGAGAGAAAAGTGATGTCTGTGGAGTCTTTTTATAAGATATGATCATGTGATGCATATAGACAAGAGTAGACACAAACCATAATAGCATGAAGAGATTGTGAGGATTAGAGTAGATATGGAATTGAATAGAACTGAATTAAAGTCTAGAATAAGTAATTGTGTGAATGTGTGAATATGTTAATTACATGTACCAGTACAGTTATTATATAGGCGATAGCTTATATGTAGGATTAAGGTTGATTTTTCAAGATGGCCGCCGTTTTTATGATTGTCAAACACTCATAACTCTTTTATCTTACGTTGTACAGCCTTATAATTGGCTTAGATAAGCTCTCCTTCACTGAGCGATTCTCCTAGTACCTTTAAAGTGGACTGTAATGTAGCAAGAGCATTTCTGGAGAATAGGCCCAAATTCAAATTTCTAGCAAAATTCTTCAGACATTTTCTTCTTCTTCTTTCATCTTCTTCTATCAACACGGAAATCCTTTAATCCAGAGAGCCGCTCAAGTTGGCTTTTACATCATTCCTTTGAGCTTGGGTCAAGGACCGGACATGTGGCTTCAAAAAGAAGCAAGGACAGAGAACAATGGAAGACAAATTCCAGCTGCAGCACCGCGTGGGTTTGTGGTTTGACGCCATTTTAATTTATGCACACGTGATCAGCATGAAATGATTAACCTAACCACATAATCATAACAGAAAGTAATTTATAAATTTAAGAAAAAAGAATGGAAACAAGTAAATAAAAAACATTAAAAATGGAAAAGTAGTAGGATTAATGTGTAAAAAAGTAAAGAAACAAGAGGGTACTTGCAAAGTGGTGTTATAACAAATCCTATACCACTTCATGAAAGACATGGCTTAATAGTTATCATGTAGTAGCCTGTTTGGATAATTACAATGCTTTTGGGTTATATTCTTCATGCAGTGGTGTAGGATTTGTTATCACACCACTTTGCAAGTAACCTCTTGTTTCTTTACTTTTTTACAATATAATCCTACTATTTTTCCACTTTTCCATTGTGAGCTAGCAAAACAGTACCTATTGTCACAACTATCACAACATACCCAAAACCTCTCTTTATCTTCTTCATCAAATGCTAGCTCACAATTCTTACATTTTCCATCATCTGCAATATCTAGTTCATCAAGTAAAGACCCCAATCCAACTGCAGTATCTAGTGGGCTTGGCGAAGTACATTTGCCTTTCTGTTTCTTAGCTTTCCTTTCTTTTGAAATCCTTTCTTTCTCTTCTTTCTTCTTCTGCTTTTCTATCGCTTTTCTTTCTCTTTCTTGCTTCTTTCTCTCCTTTTCTTCTTGTTGCTCCTTTGCCTTCTTCATTCTCTCCAATTTGTTTTCTTCTCTTATTATCTTTGCATCAGCCTGAGCCTGTTCTTTCTCCTTCATTTCCTTCAGAACAGAGGAGTCAGATAATTCTACAGCTTTTTGATTGACTTCTTTTCTTGCTTAATTAGTTTTATGGACAGGATTTGGAAAAACT